AGGAGAGTGTGCCCTCGGTGAAGATGGTTCCGGAGGTTCACAGGCTGGACTTACAGCTTTGCAACTTCCCAGATGCAAGTTGTCTAGTCGACTGTTTGGCCAATTTGCTTCACCGGTCTTGAATTATTTGTGATTTGCGTTGCATGGTTTGCCTTCACCTTAATCTTTTTTTTGAACGTCTTTGCATGCTTGACAGCAGTTCGAGGCTCCAACTGTTTTTGTTGCTCCATTGCAAACGATTGCAAGGCGCTTTGCTGTGCGTATATGTTTGAAGCATTGGTCTGGCTGTGAAATTTCTTTTCTCTTCGCAGGGGGGACGGGGTAGGGAGGGCGGGCTTGCAAACCTCTGCCAGCGAAGCTCTTTACAAGCATCCCAAGGTGTGCTGTCTGTCTGATGAAGGGTGTGTACCTGCAACATGTCACAAGTGTCATTTTCCTGTTGGAACAGCTGACAGACAGCTGCTGCCTTAGCATGGTTACCGGAACCTGTTGGCAAGTTCCTTGATTGATGTCCTAGTCCCATGCTCAACATGTGATGACTAGAATTGTGGAATGCCTTCTCTGAAGCCGGAAGCTTTGTCCCAATATCGCAGTTTTTTTGAACTCACCTTACATTGTAACATATTCTTTTTTGTATGCCTCTACGTATTTGTCATTATTATTGATATCATTTTGTTTATTATTCATGATGATTATTATTATCTTTATTAGTACTATTGTCATTATATTTATCAGCATTATGATGATCATTATTACTACTACATATTTATGTGTACCCATACACATTATGAATAGGACGCACTCACCAGTTTCAAAATGTTAGATGAAAGCACTCTCAGACTTGACTGCATGCATCTTACCTCTGTTCAGCACCAGCGCATAGTGGCGCTGCGTAGTGTAGTGTACCTTCCTCAAGGTCTGCTCGGAACTTGTGAATTGATCGCAGCACCAGGACACTTAATGTACTGTCCATTTCAACACCATTCTGTTGATCCCAACTCGGTTGAAGACTTCACGTCTTAAAGCTACGACTTGCCTGTTTCTCAGTACATCTCTTGAAAGTTCATGAAAATTGTAAGACTGCAAGACTTGAAAAGAACTACAAAAACTTTGACATCCATGCTGTTGACCATTTCATGATAGGCGTGTGATTTGCACGTTACTAACCCAAGAACGAGTGGATACTGCCGTTTCATGCTATCTCTAAGGATGGGAACCTGCCATCTTTTTAAATATTATTTGAATCTACATATTTACATTACTGATATTACATTACTGATATTGTGATACTTCCGGTACTATTGGGGTTTTGTACAAAAGTGGAAACGGAAACTTAGTGGAGGTAGCGGGGTCCCATTGTTGGGCTCAAAATATCACAAACATGACCTTGCAATATCGTTTGTTGCCTTTCGTTTCCATTGCTGTACATTTTGGTTTGTGCAGTTTCCCATTGGAGTTGATGTAAATCCACACGCATTTCTGAAGCAGGTTCAGGGTATTTAGCATCAATGGCATCGATGGTGATCTGGTTCGTTCAATCTGACCCATGCGCAACATTGCATAACTTCACTCTGCTGAATCTGCTGTGGAAAGCACATATTGATTTGACTTTACGGTCGCTTTCGCAATGCAGGCCTTGGCTTGGCTTCGGTGGCAGCTTCACGGAGGCGACTGTCCCAAAGAAGACGCCACTTCATGTGTCAAAAAATGAACATCACCAATACCACTGTAGTAACTGTGAAATCGCAAATTTCTGGAAAATCTCAGGCAGTTTTAGCCCCTTGTAGTTTGAACATTGGAATGCCCCCGTGATCGGCACAGACGTCCAGGGGCCTGTTCTAGACTGTGTTAAGGCAGGAAAAAACCTTCTTTGAAGGGGAAAAAAACCTGCCAAAGTACGGGAACCCAAAGCTGCACACAAGTAGGGCTCACCAAAAAAGGTATAGATAGGATCAGAGAAACTTACGATCTTCGACTGACCGGTACTGCGGTAAGCCCCTTGGGGGGCAAGGCGGGTGAGATGCTAGTAGCAATCTCAAGCCACATAAAGGGGAAAACGAAACAGTACAAGGCAAAAAAACCAAAACGGACGACCGATGGCGACAAATCAAGCAGCCGTCCAACCAAAGAAGGGAACAATCCGAGCTTTGAGCTGGACGCCCTCCAAATAAAATGAAAGGAACACCTCACTCAACCTCTCACTCCGCCGGCGATGTCAAGAAGAATAACCCGGAGCGCGACACTTGTAGTTTGAATACGTTTCAATATCGTTCATGTTCTATTCGAGAATGGCAGGCAGCTACGGAGACCCTGCAAAAGCTCAGCCCTGAACGCAGGGATCAGGCTGCCCACAGCAAATCAAATGGGACCAATCCATTGCCTTTTTTCACTTTTGGGACGCTTTGGATTGCCTTTGAAAAAATTAAACAAATTGCCTCCTCCATTTTAACAAGTGGGCTGTGGCTTCTTCCTTTGCAGTGGGGTTCTAGGCTGCTGCTAGTAGCACGGGCGAGCTTGTGAGTGTCATGCGTGTGCCCTTCGCTGTGGCTTTGTGATTGCACTGCTGCAGTCGTTCTAGTTGGATGCTATTCTACATTTTTTTTTGTGTGATCATCAAAAGACTTGGAGGAAGTTTGGATTCCAAAGATCTCCGTACACGAGAATTGTATTTTAAGAGGTACAGATCTATCAGGTCTATTCTGGATAGGAACAACATTGTAACAACTGTAAAGGTTCTCAGCCCTATGGAAGAGGCGATTGCATTTTCTTGTGGGTGCTGTTGATTGCCTTATCCTTGATGTGGGGACCTGTTGTTTTTGGTGGCCCGTTGCTATGGCTTGCGGCAGGGTCAGGGTGGAGTGCTGTTTCTTGGTGCTGGCATTGATGCCAGTTCTGTGCAGCTCAGTCATTAAATTACAAGAGTTCCAAGGAATGCGATGTATTGTTCTGTATTGTCTTTGATTCAATCTGCATGCATTTCCCTTATTTTGCCCGATTCTATTTGCCGTCTATGCAATGCTTCGACAATTTTCTGCATTGCAAAATAATGCTAAGCTCATGCCAGGTCCTAAAGGCATGCTTTGACAAGGAGGAGGTCGCAGTACAAAGTGCAGTGACATGCGGTGAGTATTTTCTATATAGTGGGATTTGTCACTTTAGCATCTTGTAATATCCTGTAGAACGTAGAAGCTTCCTGTTGAGTCACTGGGATTGAAAGGTGTGAGAGTTTGATGAGGTGCAATAAAGGGCATGACGCACGAGCCTTTTTTTGACATCAGAGTGTGTGCATCACTTCGATTGAGATAGTTTGGCACCAGGGACTTGCCTACAATCTTGGCCGGGTGTCAATTGGATCCTGCGACTTTGGTTTGGGCAACTGGACCGAGGGCTGCTGAACCGTTCAGCGTCTTGGTCAAACTCTGCAAATCACGTAGAACCTATGCTATTTGAAGAAATGCCAAATGCAATGACCAGTCTTTGAAGAATCTCGCTGGCTAGAACAATCCGCGTGTTACGTAAGAGGTTGGAGTGCACTTGAAAACATTGCAGAGAACTTAGAGAATCATCTCTTTTGCCGTGTGTTGTCCCTGTTGTCCCTGTTGTCCCTGTTGTCCCTGTTGTCCCTTCATTCTGTTTAGTGGCGAAGGACTTGTGGAAACCTTGTCGAGGAAGATAAGGAGCTCGCAGGATTCAGCCTGGAGCACTACGAGGCCTGGCCTGAGGCCTGTAGACTCGGCTGTAGACTGTAGACGCTGTAGACTGCCTGAGATGTTACTGAGATAGCTAATAGCTAGGGCTTAGCTAAGGGCTTCCGCAGCGAAACGACTCGAATCACGGCCAATATGTCAGGCCTCGATTCTACCTACTGTCCATGATGCCACGAAGGCAGTTCCGACTGCTGATATTGCCAGTTTTGCACCTTCAGATTCTTAATTTCTGAAGGCCAACGCTGATGACACTGTGTGTCCACAGGATGTCAACCTAAGAGGTCGTTGAAACCAGAGGCGAAGAGAATCGTAATGATATCTATGGAGATGTGTAAAAACTTGTTGCCAGCCCTATATCCTCTAGTTGCCCTAGTTCATGCCAAGGGCCTTTCCCCACTATGTTTTCAGAGTGACAATTACTATCAATTAGGGAAGTAGGTAGAGTTTCGGTAGAACATGATTCAAACATATTCAGAAAACAATCATAGTTTTCTACATCGGCAGCAAATTACGGGAGGGTCTTGGAACAGAGGATGTCCATGCATGCGAATCCCAAACTTGCTGATTTGATGGTCGCAGATGCCGCAGATGTCGCAGGTTGCAGGTCCTTTGCTGATTGTTGCAAGTCCGTGGAGCCCTCCGTCTTGGATGAAGTTAGTGACTCAGGATGACTCATCACTAGATCACCAGATGGATCACTAAATCACTAGAAGCATCTTCATGCATCTTTGATCACCTTTGAATATCTTTGATGAACTGGTGGGAAATGGTAAGAACCGGTAAGAGCATTGTTGGAACTCAGGACATACTGCAGCGCTCTGTGGACTGTTTGACTGGACGCTAAGGACCAAAAAGGAGTTCAATGGTGATGGCCACCTTCGGCAAGACTGTACATCTCCTCAAGAGCACTCCCTTGGATGCTATGATTTGCCACAGCTACAGAATGATACAGATGCATACAGTATAGACAGACACACATAGACAAACATTATGAGTCAATTCGAGCATTATTAATGACATTTAGTCCGTTTTGATAGTGGATGGCGCTAATTTTTGAAATGCACCATCTATAGACCACTTGGGGATGGGATGTTTTGCGCCATCCAGAGGTTCCCAACACATGCGGTTGAAAACAACATGTTTTCCTCTAGTTTAGTTTAATTTAGCATCAAGATTGCAATGAATTTTGGGTACTTTTTTTTTTGGGGAAAACCATCACTTTGGATTGCGCCATCTATAGGTTACCACTGCGCTCCATTTGTAAAGGGAAAGGGAAAGGAGAAAGGAGAAAGGAGAAAGAAGAAAGGAGAAAGGAGAAAGGAGAAAGGAGAGAGGAGAGAGGAGAGAGAGGAGAGAGTAAAATAAAGGGAAAGGGAAAGGAGAAAGGGAAAGGGAAAGGAGAAAGGGAACGGGAAAGGAGAAAGGGAACGGGAAAGGGAAAGGCGGAGGGACAGGAGAAAGGGAAAGGGAAAGGAGGAGGGAAAGGAGAAAGGAGAAGAGAAGAAGAGGAGAAAGAGGAGAAGAGGAGAAGAGGAGAAGAGGAGAAGAGGAGAAGAGGAGAAGAGGAGAAGAGGAGAAGAGGAAATAAGAAAGGGAAAGGCAAAGGGAGAGGGAAAGGCAAAGGGAGAGGGAAAGGAGAAAGGGAAAGGGAAAGGAGGAGGTGTGCGAACCGTGTTATTTACAGCTCGGCGTGTGTATTTTATGCCTCCCAGAGTGAATTGCGCCATCTACAGTGCATAGTTAGTGTGTGTGTGAACCATCTGAAGAGATGTAAAACTTCTAATTTGGGATTCCTTTTCAATGCTTTTTATAAATTTGCAGGGGGACTGGAGCCGATTTGCCTATCCAGACGAAGCTATGGCATTTCGGTGGATGAGTGGTCTGATCAACTACTTGTAGCTGCATTGTTTTTTCCGTCTTTGTGGCAAGGGGCTAGAGCCAAGAACCCCATCCGACATTTTCTACATTTTCGACAATTTCATGTCGAGGCCTGCACGTTTGCTGGAATCTAATCTTTAATTCAAACTGAGCCTGCTTTCTTCAACTATTTGATTTCAACTGCGCTGGCTACGACGATGGTAGCTTCTTGATACTTTGTCGGGTCTCTTCACCGTGGAAGTGTTTTTGCACGTAAGATGCATTCCGCAACAGAACTCGTAATGACAGTTCTGAGCAAGTGTGTTACTCACGTCGGTTCGGCAAGATGCCGTGAGCCCTTCGGGGAATACCTGTCTAGGTAGGATGTTTGATCCTTTGACTTGACCTCTGAATTTACACTTTTAACCTAGCAATTCGCCTAAGTAAAGTGAAGCAGTTGGCAATTTTTCGATTTTCACCCTGTCGATCGATTGAGTGTTGAACAGCTGGCTGCCGTACTTGGCTTCACCTTTCTTTTTCACTGCTGAAGCTGTGCTGAATGCCGTGAAAACCTTCGTTTTTTCAACGTTGCTCGAATGAGTGATCGGCTTTTGTCGCCATATGCAACACTAATGATGTGCCAGGCAGGTTCATGCTTTCCAGTTTGGTACTTTCTTTCTTTTGATGGTCGTTGGTGAGGCACTTAAGCAGCTGGGGACTACTGACAGCCGTTCATAGGGTTGAATTGACTACCGAGGGCCTTGAGCCTTATCACGAATCATGCATGACTTTTTGGACGCATCTTTTTATTAACTAGTTCCCCATTGTGCCCCTATCTCATGCGTACTCCCTCTCTAGGTCAGGTTTGGGTCCTTCGCGTGCCAAAGGTAGGTTTTGGCTCTCACCTTGTAGGTTGTGTCAGGCCTCTCCGTCCTCCCCCCCTCCTCTGGTCGGTGTTTGGCCCTTCGTCCGTCCGCTTTTTCTTTTCCCTTGCCCTTTCAGGGTTTGCCCGTTCTGAGCTAGGTGTGTTGGTGTTGGTGTTGTCCCTTTTTCCCGTCCTCTTTTGCGTTCCCCGTCTCGCGTCCCGGTTAAGTAACTGTCATCTCATTCTCATCGTCACCTCACTTCCATTTCCTTTTCATCTTCACCTTCACCTCATTTGTTGGAGCCTTAAAAAGCCCCGCGGCAGCGAGGCGTGTGTGTGAACCATCTGAAGAGATGTAAAACTTCTAATTTGGGATTCCTTTTCAATGCTTTTTGTAAATTTGCACGGGGGACTGGAGCCGATTTGCCTATCCAGACGAAGCTATGGCATTTCGGTGGATGAGTGGTCTGATCAACCACTTGTAGCTGCATTGTTTTTTCCGTCTTTGTGGCAAGGGGCTAAGAGCCAAGAACCCCATCCGACATTGTCTACATTTTCGACAATTTCATGTCGAGGTCTGCACGTTTGCTGGAATCTAATCTTTATTTCAAACTGAACCTGTTCTCTTCAACTATTTGATTTCAAATGCGCTGACTATGACGATGGTAGCTTCTTGATACTTTGTTGGGTCTCGCTACCGACCACTTCCTGTCAGGTGCAATGGAAGTGCTTTTGCGCTTAAGATGCATTCCACAACAGAATTCGCAATGACAGTTCTGAACGAATGTGTGTGATTTTGCGTTAAATGGATCTCTTGAACTGTTGGTCTCCACAGGGCTGTGAATATGGCTGCATTGAATTTGAAGATGGCAGCTCCACCTGCAGTAGCCCTGGTGCAAAGTTTGGTGAAAATCAAAAGAAAAAACAACCGCTATCTACGAAAAATAGCGATGCTATTCGGGGCTGCGCCATCTGCCAAAAATACCGATTTTACGGCCAGGCTGCGCCATCTACCGTCGCTATTTTTTTTTTTGCGCCATCTATTATCACAGCGGTGTAATGACCAGGTCGCTGTTTTTTTTTCAAAAATATGCCGAGATGTTGAAGTGCTGAGGCTATGGTGCGTGGGCGCATCATTTCGTTCGGTTCGTGCAGGACCGTTTGAAGTCCAACTTTTGAAACAATGACACATCTTGCATGTCAACCGATGTCAACACTTAACACAGTTCACACTCTCTTATGGTAGGAAATGGAAAAAAAATCTGTGCCAATTTGGGCAGTTACTGTTGAACTCTGAGAGCCGGGGTGAAAACAGACACCAAACGCAGATCCGACCTTCAACTTGATAGTGTCCAAGGTCCAAAATGAGCCAGAGGCAGCCTGCCTAAAGCTATGCTTACACTATGCTACACTCTTGAGGGCATGTCGGAGATACTTCCACGAGTGTGGATTCGGCTTGCAGGCAGCCCAAATATGGGAATCCTGCATTTACACAGCTGAGGACACATGCGTGATTAGATGAATGATCATGAATAATTGATTGACTTGATTGCCTGAGATGCCCCAGTCTCAGTCTAATCGAACGGAGTCCGGATTGACAGGAGGAGCGCGACTTTGTCAGAGACTACTTGGGGCCAGCATTTGAGGCTGCGAGAGCTCTTCGAAATTCTTTCAATGGTTAATGCTTCATGATTCATCTCACTAGGTTACATTTCATGGAAGATTGAGAGGCAGCAGAGTTGAACAAAGTCAAAATCATCATCTGGGATCACAACCGTCCCTTGGTTTGTGATGACGAGCATTTTGCGGCACCAGAAAACATTTGCCCTTCAAAACCCCCGAGACTGCAGCCAAGGCGACGGCATGTTCTGACCTCAAATCTTCCACAGTTTCAGAACTTGTCTGCTACTCACTTAAAAAAAGAAGCTTATAATAATATATATATATAATGACATGGAGTGTGAGAATGTTGGATTGCATGGCTCTGCTCAGCAGCAAGGCTAGAGCGAGCTGCTGTGGCCTATGCTGATGAGAGTGCAGCCAAGTGCCAAACCCAAAAATGACCGTGATCCCCAAGAGCATTTGGAATTTATGACAAAGCCATGACAAGATTTGGTAAGCGCTACGCCGCTACTACAAGATGCTGCAAGTCTCTTTGCCGGACTCATATGACTTTGCCCGTTTCTCACACAGTGCCTCACAGCATGTCACGGCATGTCTCACCAAGATACATTTGGGGCCTTGGCTACCACTGGTACAGAGCTCGGCTGACAACTTGGAGGCACCACATATTACGAGACACACCATACAACTCCCAGGTATGGAGACGGACGATTTGAGACTTGGCCGGAAAGCCATGAAATTGAATTCGAGGCCCGGCAGTTGGAACTTAGTTCCTTGCTGGTTGGATATTCATACCATTTCATACCACTGTCAACATGGCTGTTCTGTCCTTTTGCCAACAAGCGTTGCGAATCGAGCTCTTCAAAGATATAGAAGCGGGCCTGGAAACAGACCAAGCAATCAAGAAGAACCATAGCAGGAGAGATAGAGAGAAAGAGAGAGAGAGAGACATCATTGGTGTTTGTTGGAATCATACTTTTTATCCCTTCCAAAATTAATTCTCCTCGACAACACTATCCACCAGGACCGACAGCATGAAGATGAAACGATCCATGAATTGAGAGCGAGGCGGAGCTATAGTGGGAAGCATTGCAACGTAGTGTTTGTACCATGATGGTGATCTCTCATCCAGTTTTGTGATATTTCCAGTACGATCTTTTGCGCATCTTCTTGTATTGAAGAGGACTATGTGAACGCTTCGTGAACGCTTTGTGTATTCTTCGTGGACGCTTTGCGGACTTGCTTCATGAAGTTCTTTGCATCTCTGAAGGCTTGGGTTCGACAATGTCCGTCGAGTAGCAGAGTCATTGCCTTATCGGAGTCACAGAAGACCTTTTCTGCCTGCTCGGCCTGGTAAGGCTCCCAACCCACAAAGCTTTTGAGCAAGCTGAATCAACAAAGTGTTAGCAAACGCGTTCACCTAGCTGTGACCAAGCTTTGCTGACCTCGACTGTCAACACCCTGAAAAACTTTGGTAAAATCTTGTGAATCGTTGTAAACCCTTGCAGTTTCAGAGCTTCTAAGCTTCAAAGCTTTTTACTTCATGATCGACTTTGCCCTGTGAGGCTTCGGCCGGACAAGCACATTATTTTTACCGAAGGCTGCCAGGAGAGGTTCCCGAACGGGAAAGCGAACCAAGTGAATCTCGCCCCTGGATATTCCTGGAGGTTTAGGGATGGCCGAGGAAGTTGCAAGCAATTCTGGAATGTTCCTACGGGACAATTACTGGGTGAAATGTGCAGGTGAAGTCTGGACTGTCCCATGATGTTCGAGGTAAAGGCTAGAAGTGAACGTGCCCAGAAGTCTCCGCAAATTTCAAAGTAAAGCGCCAGGAAATGCGTTCAAGTCGCGGGATTATGTTTAGCATCTTGATCCAAGTTGATTTCAGCGTGGGCGAGCGATCAATTTTTCTACAGTTCTCTGGTAGGTTTTTTTGACGCCTCGATTGCCTCTCTTTTGGTGAAGAAACGCACAGTGACCAAGTGAGCAACTACCGCCGTGCTGCTTCTGCGTATTGTTGTTTGAGGCTTACCACCACCAAAGAGGGATCTACAACGAGATGGGGTGGGGTGGAGTGAAGCAGCAAATTCGCCGGTAGTTGCGGATGGACATGCCATAACACTAGAGGTGTCACGTTAGAGTCAGGGTGGAGTGGGGTGAGGCAATAGCGTTCGCTTACTGGCGAGCTCAGCCCTTCCTCTGCTTCCCACTCATCAACTGCTTGCTCACCACCTCAGCCCTTTTTCTCATACCGCCTCTGCCCTTCCTCGCTGCTTCCGGCCCACTTATTCCTTCCTCTCTCTGTCACTCGCTGCCGACTCAGCCCTTTCTTAGTTGCATTCTCAAGCCTTTCTCTCTTTGCCACTTATCCATTCATCTTAGTTGCCAACTTGGCCCTTTCTTCCTCTTAGTTGCTGCCCCAGCCCGTTTAGTTGCAAACTCAGCCCGCGACCGTGAAGAAACCATTTCCTTTGAAATCGCATGGTCATACTTGAGTTGCAATGACACCTGCAGGCATTTGAATGAAAAGACTAACAACTTGTATAGAATATCGAGTAGGATAAATTGTACTTAAGTCGCACAAGTTGGATCAAGTTGCCATTAAGAAGGTGGTGGTCATGGCGGTCAATGTACTTAATGCTGCTCACGTTGTGAAACAAAATTTTGAAACACAATTATGAAACACAAATTGTGAAACACATGTGGAGCTCACGAGTGAACGCTTTCGCGAAGGAGCTCTCCGGGCGCAGCTTGGAGCAGATGCTTGATGTCGGCAGCCAAGATGGGCCAAGAATGGCCAAGATATCAGTTACTCTGGGTTTCTACTCGTTATGTGCTAGTTGTGTAGGAGATGCCAGCTTCGAAAATTTGGTGCACATCAGGTTTGGAAGCTTGGTGAGAGGCACTGGTTTTGCCTCAAGTTTAGTCAGTCTTGTACACAAATACGGGAACATGAAAGGAACAACTGCCTGCAAGGGCATCTTAAGGGTTCGAGGAGGACTACAGAGATAAGTTAAGTGAAACAGTGACGTGCAGGCCAGCATTTTGAAACCTTAACTGCTGACATTTGCAGGTACGGCATGAACATCATTTCTGACATGAACAATGGAGCCCCACTCAGAACTGTTGTGGCTCACTAGCTTTGAGCCAGCGCCTGACTTGGAGGTGGTTCTAGCATGTTCCAGCCATTGCAGGTGTGGAAGGTTGGATAGACTGGAACCTTTGCCTTGATGAGAGAGGCCTTGTTGCAAAGTGTTGCAACGCAGCTCGGGGCAGTCTACTTCATCATACTGAATCATACTCATCCTCTTAAATCATGTTATATAAATCCTTTGAGATAATTTTAGAGATACAATTTTAGAATGATTGTGCAAAGAGAAAACCTATTCTCACTGATATGAATAGGTGGCCCCAACCACGTCGGAAACTTCTGCACCATCCTTGGATTTCAAACATCTCAACGTTGAACTTTTTTTGTCTTCAAGCATTTGCTCAGTTTGCTCAAGGCTGTTGAATCTTTAAGCTTTAAATTGCCAAATTGTGCCATGTGGCTGAGGCTCAGCCCCCATCATTTGTGACACTCGAAATGACACCATTTTGAGGCAGCCGTCATTTTGGTGCGCCAACGGAACACCAAGAGCTTGAAAAACAAAGTAGCACGTGCTCATTATGCTGAATATGTTTAGAAACACGGTGATTGATCAAAACTAGCAAGCATCCTGAAACAGAGGGTAGGGGAACATTCCATCATTGTGATTTCTGTTTGCTTTCCGCTTTGTGCACAAGGATGCGAGGCTTTTACCCAGCCTGACCACTGTTACACTATGTTGCACAGCAGTTGCGATTGATACTGTATATTCTCTTTGCATCATGTAATCCGCGCGTTCTGACGGTGTGTGACACTTGTGTGGAGTTTGATGAGTTTGATGAGCTTGTGAAACTGGGTCTTCTTCGGTCTTAGTCTTCTCAATGTCCAGGTACTTGGGGCACTTTTCCCGCTACATCAAACCTGGAGCATGCAGAGCAGTTAGCAGTACCAGCAGGGATGTTTTGGAGGCTGTCAGACCCAAGAGAGTGAAAGAGACTGAAGCAAGATCAGCTGAGTTATGCTTTGTCACCAAGTCTTAAAAGCTAAGAAAATGACAATTCAACAGGTGACTTCTTGGGTAAATGTTGATGGCAGCGTGAAACTCAGCCATACGCTTGAGAGAAACTATCCGGTTTCCACGATTGCCTTTCCTTCCTTTCTCTTCATGCCTGGTTAGCCAGATTTGCATTCTTCAAACTGTTGAGCTGTGCTCACTCCCCTCGTAGGATTGTGTTGCTTTAGGCATTGTTGAAACTGCTTCCTTCCCATTTGGCTAACGCCTTGAGGTCTGGCTGTTGTAGTGATGAACCAAAGTGACGATGACATCGACTTCTGGCTTAAGGCTGGCAGGCTGCGTTGAGCCGTTGAGCCTATTGAGTTTGGAGATATTGGAGATGGGTAACACGGTCGCTTTGCTTCGTCCTTGACCCTTTTGAATCCTTTTAACTGTTCAGTCTTCAGTGTCAAGGTTTGTCCAGGTTTGTTCAGGTCTGTCGTGGTTCAGTTCTCACTTGGTGTTCGACTTGTCCGCTTTGACCGTCCAACATCGTCCAACTTGGGAAGGTCTTTGGTTCTGGAGCAGCGCATGTGGAGGTGAAGGGCCCTAGAGGTGATTATCACTGATGTATACTGATGTGTCGTATTCATATGCATTATATGCATTCATATTTCTGATGTGTTCTGATGTGTTCTGATGTATTCTGGTGAATTTGCATATGTTTGCATGGTGCCATAATGTATGTGATCACATTAGCACTGTAATGTGCTGACCTTAGGTCACGTCATGCAATGTGATGTGATTCAATGTAATAAGAGGAAATTTAGGGCTCAGGTAATGGAACGATGTGGACTGGCATCACATGTACACCAAACTCGGTGTGCAAGCTACATCAAGCATCATGTTGAATAGTTGAAACCAACATTGAATGAAACTACTTCAACATGTGAAGTTCCGTACAGTTTTACTTATACTATTGCTTAGATTGGCTGGTGCGATGCTATATATTGGTGCATGCAAGTATTGTCACGTATATAGTGTCATGTGATGTGGTGTAATGGGACACGTCTATGAATGCTGACAGTGGGTAGAAGGAAGGACAAATGCATGGATGGACGCACAGACGGATGCAAACGTGACAAAACCTGGGGCCACCATGTACGTAGATCCTTCCATACATTTCAACACAGCAAGGATTGTAACCTATTGAACATGTTCAACATTTTTCAACCGTAGAGGGACTAGTTGTGTTCAAGTTGTGTTCTTTCTTACTTTCACAGACAAGTTGACTGAGTCGGCTTCAGCACCTTGGCATTTTGACACGTTAGCTTTTATGGCCTTTGACAAGTGGTGAATGATTTTGCAAGGCCATAAGGCCATATTCAAAACATTTCAAAACACTTGCAGCCAAGCCCACCATGTGCCCATCGAAGGCACCTGCGCGCTCTATCTCCACCTTCCTAGTGTCTTAGAACTTGAGCCCTGAGGACTGTGCCAGAGGACTTCAGCCTTCAGCATACTGTTTTCGATCTTTTTCATACTTTTTTCATGGCATTTCACGAGTGTATTGATGAGTATGTGACAGTATCTGTTTGGATCATTCTGGATCTCTGTATACAACGTTCATGACTTCTAAAAGCCAGCATGCTGCTACAGAAACACTTGCGAAGCACTTTCTGCGAACGGTCTAACTGGCAGAGTCCTCCATTGCCACGTTTGATTTTCACTCTGAGATTGATTTCAGTAAAGCGGGTCTTGCTCAATTAGCATCGACAAAGAGCTTTGCGAGCTATGTCGAGCAGCGGGTTCGGTTTCGCAGTTTGGATACATGTTTGAGCACACTTCCAATGTTTAGGTGGAGCAATGGCCATGCATTGTAAATGGTTGCCGCAGTATTCGGTTCAGTTTGAATTTCTCAACGCTTCAAGTGTAGGCCAGAGCCTCACAGCCACAGATTTTTTCAGGGACTTTCGGCTGGACTTTTGACTTTACTGCATGTCGTGGAAGATGCGCACCACGCCCACCAGTTCCTATCAGGTACCTTGCTTTCAAGGTCGTTGGCAGGCCCCGGTACACAAAGGACACCCGGACAGGTCTTTAGCTGGCTTCTGAATGTTTTGTGCAGCTTGGCCCTTGGCCTAATGGTTGGGCTAAACATCACACAAATCACGCTTCTTTGAGTCACTTCGACTTGGCTAACGCGATCCTATTGCGAGGGAGGGACAAATCATCCTGACTTTGTATTCCCGGAATTCTCCAACGCAGTCATTCTTGCAATAGCGACCACAGGCAATTCATGAAAACATAGACAGCCCATTGCAGCTCGAGAGCTTGAAGCCAAGACTCACGAGGATGACATCATTATTAAGATGAAAGTTTACTCTGTTCTATCAATACATCTGTCATTTGCGACGCAAGCACGCTTTCATTAAACATTATTGGAACATTGGCTTGACTTGGATTGCTTTCAAAGCGGAGTTTCAACTCTTGGAAGCAGTTGCTGAGTGTCCTGCCCCACTAACAATCAACGGTTAGTGAGCTTCTATCACTGAATACTCATTTTGCTTTGCATTTTGCAGGCTGGCCTGATGGATGAGGAGTATGATGTTGTTGTATGTGGCACAGGCAGGGATCTTGCATTGAGTATCATTGAGTGCAAGAATCCAAAGCTGCGTGTGCCAAGTGGAACATTTCTTCTTGAACAGACTTAGGTCTTAAGGAGTGCATCTTGAGTGGCCTGCTTTCAGTCCATGGCAAGAAGGTCCTGCTTGTACTCGCACAATGCCTTTGTGGCAGAATACATTGACACCGAGACTGGCTTTGTTAGAATTGCGGATATTGCGGATGCCTGTCTTACTTTGTC